AGGGTGCCACGTTGGTAAGGTGGTGAATTCTAACCACAAAGTTCTTGGTACCAACAGACTCCGAATTGTTGATGGCTCAACATTTCGTGAATCTCCAGGAACTAATCCTCAGGGCACTGTCTTGATGATGGGCAGGTAAGCTTTAACTATTAGAAAAGAGGTGGGGCACAATCATTTTCGTGTTAAACCTGGTTCATTTTGATTTTTGCAGGTACATGGGAGTCAAGATTTTGAGAAGAAGACTAGGAAAAACTGCTCGTGTGTAATGACTGAAGACCAACTGGTAGCATTTGAAGAGCAGTGTTTGTTTGTAGCAGTAGGATTAATGGAATATGATTTTGTTATTTTTAGCAAGTGCGTATGTATGTACAAATTAGCTTGCCTTGGGAAATTAGCATTTCCATTTGATTTGTGCTTTTAATTTGTATCATGAACTCTTCTTGACTATGCTCCTAATGGTTGGTGCCAAGATTGATGAAAACCCAAAAAAAAAAAAAAGAAAAATGATGGTTTAGGATATCAGGATTCGCTATGTGTCGGTTATGATGTTTTTGGTACCAAATAATCAAGGATTTAAGGTTCCAAACTTTGTTTCTCATCTTTTTTCTTACATTTCTGAAGCAATCAAACAGAGATTATTTACACTAATAAAAAGTTACCATAATTTGAACCTAAATTTTAACTTTATTACTTGATACAATCATTATTAAAAGATGACATTCAAAAAAATCTATAATTTAAATCTCAATTTAAATCCTAGCACGTGTAACCCTTTTACATATTCCCGACCTCTTTTGTAAAACAACAAAATTACCATAACATCCAAATACATCTTCTCCAACTAAAAGGCTAATTCCCTCTCTATATATGTTCTCTTCTGTTTTTCATTTTTAAGGACAATTAGTTGCAGAAAGAGGATAAACGTACTGGAAACAACTCTAATGAAGAAAAATACTAGTAGTTGAGATTTGAGAATCTTAAAGAGCAGACTTTAGTAGCAGATGTGTTTTGTTGCGCCTAAACCAAGCAAAAGGTTAATACAGCTACCGAACTTGAATAATAAGTTAGGTAAGTTCACGCGGCATTTAAATGTATGTTATGTATCAGCTGAAAAGGAAGCAGTTGCAGTTTCCTACGCTGGTGAATTTGTGTTTTAGGATGCACGCAGTTAATTGGGCTGTCAAAACATTTAAGGGGAGGTTGAGTGGCTGATATATGGTTTCAGAATCACATTACAAGGCAATCAATCATAGGTTTGGATGACAATCCTCAATAGAATTCCCACTCAACAGCTGTCGCAAACCAGTTGGTACTAAGGTCAAGCTAAACTGCTTTTTGCTGAGAACATGCATGCAACTATAAAACTGGAGCTTGAATGAAGAGATGTCGGAACATTAATTAGATCTTCTGTAAACTATATAATCATTGATTTGGTTTGGTGTTTGTTCACAATTTCTTATGTATTTGTTTTATTTTAGCAGGTTATCCTACTTGTTTCAGATGAATGAAACTTTTGATTAATGAAAAGACAAATCATTAAAAGCTAAAGAAAAGAACTGAAGACATCATTGGTAGATTTGAATGATAAAATTGATGTTTCTTCATCATAAAATTTAAGGATCATTAACAACATTTTCTTCCAAGATCCAAGGCATTCAATAAAGTCATGCCATGAGCCTCCCAAATTGATGTTGTATTTGATTCTTCAATCATCATCGTATGACAATCACTATTGGTACTCCTAGCACGGATAAAAACCACAAGTTTGAAATATTTAAGACAAGAAAAAAGAATTCAAAACTTGTCATGTGGTGCATGTGACAGAATCAAGCATCAGTCTGTATTCAGTAAAATTCCCAGTTATTGTTCAAGAAAACAAACTATAATTTCCCAGTGAGCAAATTTTTATCGAGACGCTGGCCAAAATTTGACAAGAATATCCATGCTCACTTCTCCAAAGGTTCAAAGATTCAAAAATTAAAAAAATTAAAAAAAAATTTTCCCGAACACTATACATATTTTTACTTGGACATTTTTTTGTAGATAAAATTGATAAATTTGTCAATAATTTTTTATATATATTACAAGTGAACATCTCTAAAAAAAAAAAAAAATTCTGGATCCATCATTACTCACTTCCGCTGCCTCAAACTTTTTGTTCTCTACAAGTAATGCCTTCTCCCTTTTTTCTTCACAAAAAATAAAAAAATGCCTTCTCCTTCTTGTTCCAAATAATATGCCTTTCGATCAATTGAAACATTCATTTCAATGGATCAAATAAAAGATCAAAATAAGACCACTGCTAAATATTTAATGTCTACAATCACCTTTATTTTTTATTTATATAACTCAGATATCGACTTTTAACTCTTCATAATGTCTTAAATTGATCTTTTAGATGGGTTGTAAACTTGTACCATTGATGGAAAATGTCAATTTCAACTTACTTTAGAAGAGAATTCTTGTCAAGTTTCCATGATAATTTTGGTCTAAAAAACAAGATGTTATATTATCTATGATTATTATGTTATAATTAATCCATCAAATTTTAAAATTGTGTAAATAATATAAAATTCACTCTGATAAGTGATGTATTATTATATAATTTTTTTTATTATGATTAGAAAAGTGTAAGGATTGTAGTTCATATTTTTGCATTTTTTGGAAAAAAATATTAAACGCAAGATTTGCACAAATTTTTTTTCATTCACGCAATGAACACCAAGATTTTATCTGATCCAGATAAAATATTCAGAATCCGAATTGCTCCATTTACTAATGGCAAAACTAGCCGAAATGGAACATCTGAATCTTGCTCATTGCATGGGCCAAATATATCAAGGTCGGCCTAGTAAGAAAATGTTTGGGCCTACCTCATTGAAATCTGAGATATGGGAACCATTCACCACACTCAGATTCGCCGGATCAAAATTTGAAAGAAAAAAAAAAAAAAAAAAGCATGGTTCATACTTAGTTATAGATTTTATAAAAAATTTGGTTCAATAATTATAATGTTTATACAAAATGAAACACCGGGGCGAAATAAGAAAAAACTCAAAAAAGAAAAATTATAGTATTTTTTTTGCTTTAATGATTAAATTAAGATGAAATTATCTCCAATATTAAAAAGGAAAAGAAAGAAATTAGAGAAAAACCTAGGAGAAAACATAATATGGTTAATTAACCATTAAGCCAAGACCAAGGCCAAGGTCTCTTGTCGTATTTTGCTGTCCCATGCATGTATTGTTCGACACAGACAAAAAGAAACGAAATCCTCGAATGTTTTTCTTGTTAATGTTTTCTTTTGAGGTAAAAAGAAATGGAAACCCTTGAACATATGGTCATCATTTCGTTTGATAATACAACACTGCCAAAAAGAAAAACTCTAAAAAGAAGTTGAGATCAGTAATTTCTATTCTTTTTGATAGAATTACATGAAAGTACAGGCACAGGCTCACAGCTTATACCACATTTTTTCATGAAAAAATCAGTGCAATTTCTATAACACATTAATTACTTCTACAAACGTATATAAACAATGGCAGCTGTACTAATTTTCTTAAAGTTAATTTGTACTAGTGGCAAGAGTATTCCTAATGTGCTATATATGTTGTTTTATTCGTCGAAATCTTAAAATTTTAATAATAACAATTATAACATAATAAAAATCTTTCTCATCACCTAATTAAAATAACCCTTAATTATATAAACTTGCAAGTGAATTACAACTCTTTTCTATGGTAAAGAGAATACTCCTTAATATTTTAACTCTATCCCAATTACATATATATATATATATATATCATTCTTTCCATATTATAAACTAAAATTCCTTAAAAAAAATTATAAATTAAAATTGTGCAATTGTGGCCTTGATATCGAGCTTAATGTGGCACATTTTTTTGCTGATAGCTAATTATCATAAATTTCTCTTAAAACTATTACCATCTTTTTATCCATTTGTTGGGACTTTCTCCTTAAGAAAGAGTAACTTCTGGTTTTAATTCACTATTATTACTTCGAAAACTGATATCATTGAACCTTATTGGGAAATAAATTGTTTTATATCATGGAGAAAATAAATAAATAAATAAAGAAAATTAAGTTGGGAACCGGATGGGATTGAAGAACATTGATGTCAAATAAAAGATGGTAATCAAATTACTATAGATTAATAAAATTTTTTTGAACCCAATGATTAAAGGAGAAATTATGACATATTATATGATTTAAGTTCGAATCCAAACAATTTCTACCATCGTTCCAATCAAATTTTTAATAACTACTAAAAAAAGATGGATTCATTATTTTGGTATACATTTTAAAAATCACAATCACATGGATATGTTAACAATAATAAACAAAGAATACAACACAAAGAAAAGGATAGTAGGTGTCTTCCGCTTCATGGCTTAATGGCCATAGAAACCTTTAGAAAGATATAAAAGCTTAATTTCAAATCAAATCTTCCTTTTCCCCTCTTAATAAAGCTTTACCTCTCTCCCTTGAAACCAAAAAAAAAAAAAAAAGAAAAGGCTAGTAGGCGATTATTTGAAATTTTTTTGGTCATCAATCATTAGGTGAGGAATCAATTTGGTGGGTTTCCTCATTTTCTTTGCTGTCAAAGATTGAGAAAATGGAAAGCCAAGGAAAGAGACAATCTCAAGTTGGGTAAAGGTTTGGCAAATGACTTTGATTATAATTAATTATGTTGAGCCTATGATAATTTACAATTAACTATGACTAAAATTAATTTTGCCCTTTCTTGTAATTAAGCGTTGACCATCTTTTGATCATCAAGTTTCTTGGGTCAACCTCTTTGTTAGAGAAGTCTGAAATTGAGATAAGGCAACATGGGAACATGAGAAATGATATGGCTGTAATTAAACATTGTTTCTCATTCTCAAATGTATGTACGTGTGTGTTAATTTACCAACGTTGCTGTTAACATTCCTTTGGTTTTGGTTACAACATTGCTGTCTCTGTTCTCTTTCCCGTTCCACCCTCCTTCCCTTTCATCCCCTTCCTTCAAATCCCCCCTTTTCTCTCCTCACCCATTTCAAAGCCCTCTCTCCCCTCCGTTCACTTCCATTCCCTTAGGTCAATTATCCTTATCTCAAAGACACTCGACCAAAAACCTTTCCCAGTTCAAAACAATCCCACTCTCCCTCAAAACACACGCGCCCACTTTACATAAAGAGTAAAAAAAAAAATATAAAGAAAGGACAGATCACTATTTTCTCTTCGGTCACCAAAACAAACCCTTTTTGGTTCTTCTCTTTCCCTTTCTCTCTTTCCCTCCCACCATGGCAGACAGGGTTTACCCTTCATCCAAACAAGCCACAAATGGCACCACCCCCACCAGCACTGCCAACCCGTCCTTTCCCGTCACTAAAGCTCAACTATACGGAGCGTCTCGCCCTCTCTACCGTCCACAACCCAACCGCCACCGTTACCGTCGCTCCTGCTGGTGCTCTTGTTGCCTTTGGACCACCGTAGCTATCCTCCTCCTTATCCTCCTAGCCGCCATAGCTGGTGCTATTTTATACGTCCTTTACCGCCCTCACCGCCCTACTTTCACAGTTTCATCCCTGAAAGTCGCAACCCTTAACATAACTTCAGCTTCCAAGCTCATCACCAACATCAACCTCAACGTCACAGCCAAAAACCCCAACAAGAAACTCGTCTATATTTACGACCCCTTCACCATTTCTCTTTACACTGACGACGATATCGATATTGGGGACGGTTCAATCGGCTCCTTCGTGCATGGCACTAAAAACACGACCCTTTTGAAAGCTGCCATAACTAGTAGCAACCAAGAACTTGATGACACGTCAGCTGGCAAATTAAAGACTGCTTTGAAGAGCAAGAACGGGCTGCCATTAAAGATAAAGCTCGACACTAAAGTGAAAGCAAAGATGGGAGCATTAAAGACACCAAAGCTTGGTGTTAGGGTTATTTGTAAAGGGATTAAAGCTACTGCTCCGACGGGGAAATCAGCAACCACGGCTTCAACTTCTAATGCAAAGTGTAAGGTTGATTTGAGGATCAAGATCTGGAAATGGACGTTCTGATGAGAATTGAGACGAGAAAGACTAGAGAAGGAAAAAAAAAAGGTTTGATGTTTATTTTATTTTATTTTTGTCTTTACTTTTTTTTTTAATTGTGTTATTCATTATTTTGGTTATAATATGTTGTGTAAATTTGGTGATTGGTTGCAATAATTAATAGGATATAGAAAGTTTTAATGTATACTTTTGTTTTTTTCCAATGTTTCTTTTAGCGTTTTTGTTGTTAGTCTCTGTTCATTAGTGTACAATATTGTTAATTTATATTTGAATTCAAGAAATATTGAACTATATTTTTTTGAATTAATTTTGAATTTAAATTTAAGCTTATTTTAATGAAAAAAAAATATTTGGAAGACCAAAATACTGTAAAAAAAATCATGGAAAATTATTGAGTTAGTTTTGGGTATTGCGTTGCCATGGGCATTTGAGTAAGTTCAACCGACGAGCTGGCCAATAAATTTTGATTTAAAATTGTTGATTTTATCACTTCAACTTAACTAAAGTTTTCTTCGACTTAATTGTATTGATCCGAAGTTTGGTTTTTGGTCATTCTTAAGTCGGCTAAGCATTTATTTTTTATTTTTTTTTTGTGAAGCTTTTACTTTGTGCTGGCCACTTGATTGCCAGTAGATTTATTTGGAAGTTTGGCAATTTTCAATACACCGCCGACGGTGTATTACCCCCTAAATTCAGAAACAAATCCCACTAAACATTATTCAAATTCATATGTTACTAAATCATTTTTGTACATGTTAATTTTACAAATGAAATTAAAAAATTAATATATTTTTAATATATAACATATGTTACCTTACTAATTTATATAGTTTAAAATTTTACTTACGATAAATTAGATTTTTTTGAGATTATAAAAAATTAAAATTTAATCTTTAAAATTAAAATTTTAGAACTTGTTCAAGATCATATCATTATTAACAATCACATGTTATTGTAAGTGATGATAAATATTTTTTAGTCATAGTTTTAGATTTTTTCTTGCTTTCGTCAACAAAGAATAACCTAGCTATAACTTTTCATATTTGTTATTCTATTTTTAATAAATAATTAAATATATATTTGTTTTATAGGACTTGCCCTTTTTTCTATTTTTTTTCACATGTAAAAAGTTGAAGTGAAGAAATAATTAGCTAACTAGACAGACATTTTTTTGCTCTTTTTCCTTAGATGTGCAGGGTTGTCAAGGGCTAGATTGTTTTCCAAGAAAAGCAAGTTATGTTTTTTTTTCCCGAAAAAAGGGAAATAAAAAAGAAAAGCATGGAAATTAAGTTCAAGAAAGAAAAAAAAGGGTTTTTCTCAAATAAAATAAATATTAACATAATCTTTTAAAAATCCTTTTTGGTGACTAAAAAAATGTAGTAAATTCACTGGCTTTGCTTAAATTCCAAGCAGTGATGGTGGCCCCAATCCTCTTTAAGTGTGTGAATCAGAATAACACGTATATTATCCTAAAAAAAAAAAACAGATTAGTGGTTGTCATGTCATTCTCGAAAAAAAATTTAATTAATTTCTCCTCTTTATTAAAATTTGAAAGACCAAAAAAAGAGTTATTTGGTACATAATTCATAAAATATTATTGTCGGTGGACGATTCTGAAGGAAGTACAATTATTGTTGTGGGTTGTTTTAGGGAAGGGTCCCAGGCTCGGTGGTTTCTGGTCTCAACTCAATTCTGAAAGCTAGCTTGCATTTCTTGGAAAAGTCTTTACACTTTTGCTTTTCCAAATAAATAAATAAATAAAATACATACTACCAACTGCTAGAATGTGGATGGCATGTTATTTGGAGTGATATGTTCTATTTATAAGAGAATGTGCTCTCCTTTTAAGCTCATGATTTTTATTTGAACAAGAACAAAAGAGATGGCGGTGGCCCAGAAGGAAGAAGAAAATAGAAGCAAATTTTTGTGATTTTCATTTGGTTGATACAATGTTGTTTTTTTTATATGCACATCATATGCTAAAATTCCCCCAACAGCTTCTATTTATTTCTAGTTGATAAAAACAAAATATTTAACAGCTGCCAAAACAGTATTTGTGACAGCTATCAATATAAAGTTTCATGCTAATGAACCAGTAAGCAGCAGCAATGTCAGCAGAATTGGTTGCACCAGCTTCCTTGTATGCATCCTCATTCGGTTCCTGTTCTGTCAGCTCCTCTCTCGACTCTGCTTTCTCTTCTTTCAGCTCAATTTTCTCCCTCAGCTTAGCTTCTTCCTGTCTTAACTCAATTGTCAGCTTTGCTTCTTCTTTCATTAGCTCAACTTTCAGCTTCCTATTACAGCCATAATAATCCTTCTTGATCCTTCTGTTACTGTTCTTCCTTGCTAGACTCGTGACATTACCCTCCCCTTCAAAGGGTCCTTGTCCCCAAGGATCACAGGACAAGACACATTCAGCGGATACGTTGCTTTAAAGTTTATTTGCGAAGCTCAATAATAATATTTTAGTAACATTAATTTTTATAACTAAATAATTTTTTTTAATTTTTTTTAAATTTAAATTTTATAATTATAATAAAATAAAAAATTCAGAATTTAATTTTATGTAATAAAAATATCAAATGCTTATTTTATTCTTTTATAAAATTTATAGATTTACGTGTTAGTGATTAAATTGTAAAGTTTTAAAGTTTATTTATCAGAGTATAAAATTTTAAAAAATTAAGTAACTAAAATATATTTATTTTTTAAAATTTTATAATATCACATTAGTAATACCATGTGATTTATCATATAATGTGGTAATAGCACATTACACCTAACAATTAATGTAACATTACTACATTAGCATGCCATCAGTCACTATAAGCTAAGGGACTAAAAAAACACTAATTTAAATTTAAGTGATTAAATTAAAAATATTAATATTTAAGTAATCATTCTAAAAAGAGCCATAAAATTGAGCGACTATTTATTTATTTTACTCTTTATTTTTATTAAAACTTTTTATTAAAATTTCATTTGATGGATACTTTAAATATTTAGAAAATGACATGTCTTCACTTTGTACCATCTTTATTTGTAATAATATTTATATACTTAAAACTTATATCAAATAAAAATAAATTACATATCTTTCTTAAAAGAATAAAAATCCATATGTTGTTGAATGATAAATTGAATAATAAAAATGTATAAGTATATTTTCACTTTTGTAATCTTATTCAAATTGCAATACAAAAATATAAAAGATATTAGGAGATATGTGAAAAAAATAAATTAAAAAAATATTAATTTTCATAAAACAAACTTTGAATAGTAATAGAATATACATTGAAAAAAAAAGATGCAAATAAAAAAAAATTGTAATAGTAATAGAATTCCAAAAGTTGCAAATAAAAAATAAAAAATGATATAACACATTACATTTATATCTTTAATTTGTAGAATAACTCTTAGATGACATTTAAAATTGAATAGATAATTTTGAAATTGATATTTAAAAAAAATAAAAAATGATAAATGATAAAAATTCAATCAAATTTCTTCCTATTTCTCAATTATAAAATTAATAGTTAAAGTTGAGACGGATATATGTCTTATTATTTAGAGATTTAATATGAAAAGATTATTTAAATTTTCAATATATTACGTAAATTTTTTAAAATATGATTTTTGTTTGATATAAATTAAGATAAAAAAATATATAGTAAAATTTTGAAAAATTCAGATAAATTTAATCTTTATAATTTAAAAATATGTTGCAAGATTTTCATAATTAAAAATTTATAAAATAAGTTTATCTGGTAAGAATTAAAATTATTTGGATAAAATTCATATTTTTAATTTTTAATTTTAAAAAACATATCTCTAGATTAATTTGATTTGTAATTATAATTTGAATAATTTTAATATTTGAATAAATTTAAAATTATCCAGTTTCTAATTAAAAGAAGTTATAATCTTAAAAAAAATATATCCTACATGTCATCTAAAGAAGTTATCACATAAATATACATGTGACAAACCTTATAAGTGTTTACATATGTTATCATATAATAATATATATGATTTCATTAAAAGTGAAATTATTTGATAACTCAATAATAAAATCTTTTACAAAAAATGATATCTAACACGTTTTGAATTAAAATTTAAACACATGTAATCCCTTTTTTATTTTCAAATTTCGATTTTTTTTTGTATAAAAAAAATAGTACTATATACGAGCCCCATGAAAAATGGGTTAATTAATTTGTTTTCAGCGAGGACGAGTTCTTGGGCAGTTAGAGAACCAATGGCACTAGAATTGGAACTTCTTTAATTCCTTCTATGGTATTAAAATATAAGGACAGGCATATTCCATCATAGGATAGATAGATCCGGTTCTATATCGCATGCACAAACAACAACAACAACAACTTGTAATGAATAACAATTTGAACCCGAAAGGTGCATGTCTTGTATCATTTAAAAAGAGAAAGAGAAAAACTGAGAATGAGGCCTGGAAAGGCATCATTTCCAATGATCCTTAATCAACAGATAATCAAGACTTTATTGTGCATGTCAATGTGCATTTATTTCTCTCTCATATTATATAGCATCATCTCTTTTAACTCATGAGATGAAAATTTTATGACTAAGATGACATAACCAACTGTGTCGATGGAACAAACCTCCTTTCAACTAGTTCTGGATCAGTCTCAAACTTTATCTCATGTCCTTCTTAAGGTATCCCAATATCTGGCTTAACTTCATCTTCATGATTATTGTCGCATTCTTTGAGAAAACTTTGCTTGATATTCAAAGTTGACATGGATGTCGTTGTCTCTTGTATGCCCCATGAATTATAATTTTCTTGTAAGTGATCATGATGGTTGTTGTCATTCACAGCAAACTGCTCTTCCTGAGGCTCTTGAACATAATAATAATTCGAATTATCGGAGTTCAATGGATCTGGATTCATCATTTCACAACCTAGTGTTGATGAACCGCCTGGTTGTTGCATTTGCAAATGAGACTGTTGTTGTTGCTGCTGATGAGTGGCCTGTGCTCGGCATTGGCTAGCTGATGAAAAACCAGGTCAAGCTCAGCCTGCTGTACTCTATCTGACGCTGAAGCTCTTGGATGATCCTATAACAACCTCCGACGGGGTCATTGGCTCGTTGCATCGGATGAAATATGATGTACGCATGGCAATGTTTTTTATCGGGAGGGTTGAGGGTCTTGATGATCTGGTGATGTTGATGACTCCGAACATTTATGCGCATTTTGGGAATTGTATTTGGCGATCATGAGGAAAATAAGGGGCCAGAATGCAGT